AGTAAAAGGTCTCCTGGACCAGGATCTGTGCTTCCTTACAGCTGTTGATATCCTGTATCTAATGCCTGACCACTTACTGTAACTAATGGCATGACCTTTATTTGCCTGTATGGCATATGCAATTACTTGCTACTTTATAGGCAAAAAAGGGTAGAACAGCATTCTGGGATTCATGTGTCCCAGCTGCACTGTATACTGAAGCTTATTGAGGTAGATCTTACACCAGAATTCATCTGGCTATTCAGTGTCATTGACCTGGGTCTATGCAAAGATACAAACCACCTCATTAAAACAAAAACTTAAGAAGTTCTCTTTAGCTAATGGTATTGCTGCCTTGTCATGAACAGTAAAAACAACGTGGACTTTCATGTCTTGGAAACACACTTTTCAGTGTTTGAGACATAGTAGCATAAACTTGGAACATTGCAGGCTGCAAATGAGTAGTTTTAGGTAAAATCCGTTTTCCGAGATGTCGGTCTGGCTTCCTTCATGAACATGAAGTTTGCAGGGAAAACAGTATTAATCAGAAATACCTAGGCTGAGTCGCAGTGTAGAAACACCATGAACCCCAGTTTAAAATCAAGTTCTCATTTTAGTGTCCTGGAGCTTGGTTAGTTCAAAAGTAGATTGTTCAATGTGTGTTTGTTAGAGATCAACTGATTGCTTGGCTGTATGAACTGGGGTTTTGGCGTGAGGAAGGCAGGAGAGGAATTTGCATTTCCCAAGACTTAGGATGTCTGAACCACGTGTTTCATTTTGTAGTTAGGTTGTAGTATTTCAATATCATACATTTGCCTGTATACTTTTGTTGTGTAATAAGAAGTGGTATTTCCTCCTGATCTAACCTCCAGAGCCATACGCATTATGAGCTGGTAGCTGTCGTTGATTATGGATGAAGTGGATGTGGGATGATTCTACTGGCAGGTTATTGCCTCTGAAGAAAAGGGTCAAAGCATCCTCTTTCACAGTTAGGCGGCCAACACCATTTCTGCTTGAAAACTTGCGTAATGTTAATAATAGGTATATCTTTTATCTATAGAGGTTATAACTTGTGGTAGACAGAAGGAAGCTGGCTTTGTGTGTTATAAAACTAGCAGTTAGCAAGATGTCTTCAAGGTAAGTTTCAGGTGGGTCTAAAAGCCAGCTTGGCCTGTTGTGAAGGTTTTAATGTCATCTGATGATGATATCCTGGATGAAATGCTAATAGGTTTGGAAACAAATTTAAGTGACCTTCTGCTTTGCTTTGGGAGTAATATCCATACATGCAAATCAAGCAGTTTTCTGAAGCTGTGTAATTACACACTGACAAGTGTTCCACTCAAATCAGCTTCCACGTTTCATAGTTCCTTCATGTGCCCAGCCCCATGGTGGTGTGCCTCAGAGGGTTATTCATAACTGGTTCTACAACAACAGAATAAATAGTATTTAAAAGCAAATTAATAATTGCTATCTCCAATTTGCTGTTGAACATAGAGGCTGTTAGGGGATTGGCTTCTTGTAGGTATTGCAACAGTGGTGAACTTTGAGGAGATTTGAGGGAGGAAGAAATGGCATTAGCAGTAAATGCCTGAGGAATTTCTAGGCGGGTGGGGAAGGAAATAGTGCCACAAAGGGAAGCAGCCAAACGTTAACATTGTTCATTAACAGCTTAACCTTCAATTTGCCCAAGTGGTTTTTGAACTGGCTTAATTTTACTCTGTGACAAATTAGTTGCCTTTGCCATAAGATTTGACAAACCAGAATATATATCTTTGTGAGTATTTGTAAACTGACTCGGGTGCAGATACTTTGGCTCAGCCTATTTCTGCCAAATTCTGTTGTCCTTTAGGACACAGCTGTGGGACAAAGAACTGTGTGGGTTATACAACAGGTTCATTATCCTATCAGTACACCTTTTCCTTCTATAGGGATTTCTTTTCCTCTAAATTATCACAGCTGATGCCTGTCTGTGCCGTACCTGTGTACTTTCATGTAAACATTGTGTCTCTGCAACATCTTAGACCCTACTGTGAATGCATGTTGCAGTTGAGCTTATTAGAGGAGTATGGAAGACCCAGCTTCTGTGTGGTGGTCAAAATTTCTTATAAAAAGTTTTCTCTTACATCAAGGTTTGAGCTGAGCTGAACCAAAATGGCAATTCCTAACTTTTTACTACCTTCCAACATTACATCTTTGAATCCAACCCTCACAGCAGGCATCCTTCTTTTCCAGCATAGGATTTGTGTGCAGGCCAGCCATATGGTGTGTGTAATTATTAGTTTATAATGGTGTTATTGCTCTCTAGCTACCCAGTAAACCCAGTGCAGTTTCAGTAAACTATATTCATAAGCATAGGAACTTTAAACTTGAATGATTTTCTCCACTGTTATACAATAGTAGGTGTGAAGGAGAAAAAAAGATTCCATTTAATTTATAGAAACTGTATAAAGTTTATAGAGTCTCTACAATCATCTCAGATGAAAAGGTTGTGGAAAAGAGGGGCTGTACCAAAACTGGGAGGTCCACAAAGCTGGAGAATAAGGCACACATCGGTAAATACCTGCGCTGAACTTTTCCCATTAACTACTGTTGAGCATATGGAGTGAATTAGGGTTTTGTCTGCCTTAGGGATTTTATAAACACATTTCCTCCCCTTTCCTCTTCCCCATCCAGTTATTATTGCTTTAGACTATTACAGAATCAAATAGCGTCCATTCTGGGATCATCGTTCTTACTGGAAAGAGGCTGTTTGCTGTAGAAACATTCACTGATTAGTGTCAGAAACCTATGTATACATGCAAGTGCTTTCTTGAATGTGCTTTTTTTTTTTTTTTGTGTGTGTGTGTGAGCTTCCTGAAGCAGGAATACCATCGTGGCTCACCCATCCTTTAAGGCATATGTGCAACTCTAATTCGCATCTATGGCAGAATTTCTGCAGCACAATTAGGAGCCAATGTGTACTCAATTTTATGGATGATCTGTAAATAAACACAGCTCTCTTTTGCATCCATCCTTACTCTGAAAATGAAGGTTGCTGAAGTGACTGGTGAAAAATAGCACCTGTAACCAAGAAATGAAGTCTCTGATGAAATAAAAAGACATTAATTTTGCGTCTGTGTATCCTTCCGTGTTTCCTCTTCAATTTTGGTCGACATTGGAAGTTTTTGTATCCAGCCCATTTGATAAGGTCTCCTGTCCTCCTCGAAACCTGGCACTGCCCATCCAAGCATTCCTGAGCATTTCAGAGGAGGTGGCCCTGTTGCCTGCCACTAGCTCCTGCACCCGTTCTGCTTTCCCCTTTGCACAAACACATGTATTTGAACAAAAAGCACTGTATCTGGGAACAGAGCTGGTTTAAGATTATCCTCCACCCACCCTCAAATGTTAATTTTAACAGATCAATTGTGGAAGTTACACCCGAGGTGACATATAGCACTTCTGCTGCTCTGCCGTGGTTGTGAGTGCATGGAAAGCCAGTTCTGGGGTCAAGGTGCTGAAGGAAGGGAAGCCCAAGAAAGATGTGACACATCTCTTAGTTTATTGTACTTTGAGACTTGTAGGTGGTAAATGCTGTGGGTTTTTTACAGATATTCTGGAACTCTAATATAATTTACAGTTTCATTTGTAGAGCTGTTTCAAATCTATGCACATTCTCCTTAGATATTTTAAAAGAAAAGCCAACAGCAATAATTAGTTTGGCTTTTTCCATGTTTTCTAAAGCACTTAAGGGGTAATGCCTTTTTTTAACCAATCTTATATAAAATCAGGTTTTACAGGAATAAGAGGACTTAAAAGACCCAAATGGCCGTCAGTGACAGATGTAATTAATGCTGAAAGCTCTATGCCGATACATCAAAATAAGGAAAACAATTATACATATGATTAGAGGCTGCTGACCCTTCAGTTAAAATGATCAAAAAGAACAATATTAAAATTTGATTTACAGAAGCTACTACTTAGCCTATAATTGCCTTGACCAATAAAAACAAACCAGACTTTTACAGAATGTGATTTCCCAGTAGATAGGTTAGCTATTTTTGTAGGGCTGAAGAAACACAAAATGGTTTTAAAATATATTTGATATGCTCTATGAGTAAATTGAAATACAGCATAAAACTAATTTTAATGTTTTTTGTTCATAAATTGCCAGATTTCCTTAATTCAAGTGAAATTTGAGAACCACTTGAGAATTGTCTCTAAAATGAAATACTACTTTGTCAGTCTATTTCATTTGTATTAAATATATGGTTTACTTTTTTATATTGGAAGGTAAATGGAAGTTGGTCAGTAACAGGATTCCTCTTACACTTTTACTGTAGTTCATGATGGAAATGGATTCAGGAAATGGCAGATGTGATTAAAAACTCTTCAGCTGGCCCAAGAGCTGTTTGTACAGCACCTAGCATACAGCACTTCTGGCAAGGAACAAGCACTCCTCATCTTACTGCAATATAAATATAATGATTCTTAAATGCAGAAACTTGGAATTTTGATTTTAAATGCACTAGTTAGGAGATCAGGAAGATGAGATCTGATGAGGCTTTTCCATTCATGAAAACGAAGACAAAATTGTTGTGTTGGTCACTGCAGTCTGTCTCTTTGTGCATGCAAGTAAGTACATTGGAATCCACGCCAGCCCAGTTTGCATGAGGGTGTCAGAGCAATACTCCTATAAATTGGCATATAAGGGTCAAACTGCCTGCTCAGAGGCTAACATCACTGGAGAGCTGTGCACAACGCATAAATGTTCATCTCTCAAAAGCTACATTGAAGGTTGAAAAACTAAGATTTTTTTTCCTATTTCTTTAGAATGCATCTACAAGTGTATAGCTCATGTCTGGGCAAAGAAATTGAATAAAACACCATAGTTCAACCTTATATATCCTGATTTGGAATATATTTGTTTTATTCACAGGGCTCTCATGAATTCTGACTTTTTTGTGCATCACTTTTTGAAATTTCCTACTAGCTTTCCCTGCTTTGAAAGCTTAAGTGCTGTTTTTTGTTTCTGGTATTTCTAGTGGAACGGGAAAATGTACAGAAGAGGACCTTTACCAGATGGATAAACCTACATTTGGGAAAGGTAAGACTGACAGTCTTGATAACTGAGATACAGGGATGCAGTCACAGACAGACTGCAATTAATTCCTTTTAAAGGGGTTAAAATTTGGAAACAAAGTTGACTTCTGTGCATATGGGGATGTTTGAAGGAGAATGAGGGGAAGTTGAAAGCATGTTTCTGGGTAAATAAATAATGCATTTCAAGCACACCAAATGCTTGGCTGGCTTTAGTTTCTCTCATGTGCATTTGTCTTTAATGCTACTGACTGTTATCATGAGGCTAGAATTTTCCCATGGAATGTACCCACAGAAAATTAAATGTGATTGAGGCTGCTCTGAGGTCATAATGATTGTGTTCTTCCCTGAACTGGAAGTTCAAACATCTGAGGTATCATGGCCAAAGACAGGTGTTGTTCAGAATTTAGCTTTATCCCAGATCTGCAGATGAGAAACAATTCCTTGTCAATCATGTTGGGGAGGGGGCCCTGTATGATGGGATCTTTACATATCCACTTTATGTTAGAGAACTAATTTTTGGACATCACTTCATATTTTTAAAATGTAATTGTTTCTTAATCACACCATAATATGGTTGTTAAACCTAATTTACTGTTCTTATTGCTAGTAGGTAAGCACTAACTCTCCTAAGTAGTCTGTCATCCAGAGAACGATCTTCCTGCTCTTGAGGATGAAAAGAGAAAAAAAAAATCTTGGTCTGCTGAGACAGCGGCAATGCTTAGTGCAGGATGAAGGAACGAGACCAGCTTCCTAAACTAGACAAAGTCCTAATTTGGACTGGAGTTTGAGCTTCACAGTGCTTTTAGTATATGTGGATAAATTTCATAAAGTACAGACTGGGACTAAGTTTGGACTACAAGCTGACTCCCGGTTTAACTCCTGTAGTTCTTGGGAAGTGATTGCATTTCAGACAACAGTAAAGTAAAGGGATTTTATAAGAAAGGCATCACATACATAGTTGCTTAAGTCCACTACTCTGCAGTGAGTGTTGCTGAAGGAATAAAGGGATCCTCTTAAATCTCACTGGAAAATCAAAATAGGGCTAGTTGGAAATGTTTTGACTAGCAATTGCTCCCAAAGGTCTCTCAGAATGAAGACAGTGTTACGTGATGCCTTTGTGAATCAGGCTCTAGGGTTTTAAACTAACTGCAGTTTTGGAAGTTGTCAAAAAGGGTTGTCAAATATATGACTGTGGAGAGGGGAAGGAACTAAATCATGAAAAAGGCTGTAGGGTGCTGTAAATTCTGCCATGCCAAGCATATGAAGCCTTAGAAACTTTGTGGGCAGGTGAACTGTTTTCTTTGGAGTGCACAGAAATTTTTTTCCTCTCCGATTCAACAAAGAAAAATAATTTTCTGAAGAAAGGGCAAAAGTCTGCTGCTACATTAATGTTTTTCCTGGAACTGGCATAATAAACAGCCCTGTAAATAACAAGAGCTTTGCTAAAGCTCCTCTAATTACAGGTGATTCCCAAAGTACACCCACTGAGGAAGATGGCTTCTGACTTTATCCTCAAAGGATCACTTCTTACAGAGTGGCTTCTTTCTTTTAAAGGCAACAGTGAAGTCTTCTTCTTGTACTTCCTCAGGAAACTTACGGTGTGGTGTGTCCCCTTTTGTAGCAGACCATCCTGTTTGTGAGACTCTGTTGGTCATGGCGTAATCGGGAACAGCCTGCATCTTCAAAGTTCTGGTTGTTCCTGTCTTAAATACCGAAAGAATAAAAAAGGTTTGGGTTTGAGGCTTTCAGATAGGTTTTTTAAATTTGAAATGAACGATACTTTGCTTCCTTTCAGTATGGAGCGTTGTTTAGTACTATTGGCTAGGTTAAAGACGAAAATGTATGGTCCCAGTTTGCCAGGAGCAGTGCTTAATCAAACAGTAGTGCATTGCCCAACCAAAGATAAAAAGATTGGGCTCTTTAGGGACACATTAGTGAGTGACACTTGCACAGAGTGTAATTGCTGCAGCTGAGACTACCCCTAAAGGCTCTGCTGACTTGGCTGCGTGCCTCCACACATCATCAGACACCTCAGGGAAGCAAGGAGATGGTTCCCTTTGGAGGAGTTTGCTGAGGAGAGAGAGAGACAATACAAGAAGTTGCTGTTTAAAGTACTTAGAAAGTACTGGGAAACAGAATGGCACCACCAGAAACCTTGCAAAGGAGACAGGACATTGTGGCCAGCTGGATCATGGGCTTATTTCAGCGTAAAGTGGGATTTGCATCTGCTGGACTTGTTTTAGTCTGAGGGATCAGCACCCAACCCTTGGGTGGTCACTTCCTAGACAGAGTATTTAGGGTGAGATTCTGTTATGGGAAATCTAGCATAAGTGCTTTTCTGATCTCAACTACATGAGTACTGTATCTCAGTTTTAGCTCCAACATTCCTAGGTCAGAATTGCCACTGATGTGAAGAACAGTCAGCCCTTTCTTCCTGCAGGCTAAGATTTCCTTCTAGTATCTCTGTCTTGTAAAAGTCTCCTTCTTACTCTCTAAAATCATGGTGATTTACCAAGCATTAAAACATCTAAAAGCTACCTGGTTTCTTTTCTTTGCAGTGCAAGCCTCCTCTGAAAGTGAAAGACTTGTTTATTGACATACAAGATGGCAAAATCTTGATGGCGCTGCTGGAAGTCCTGTCAGGACAAAAGCTGGTATGTATATGAGAGGGAGAAACCTCCATAGGTATGGAGCTCTGTATGTTAGAAGCAACAATGTATGGACATCCAAGGAATAAGGGTGAACTCGGTCCCCTGTCTTGGGTACAGTAACAAGAATTTCAGTAACATTGTTGTGATTTTCTTATGTTATAGGCCAGCGTCCTGAGCTGTAGCTTAGATTTCAAGGAAATGTATAACAATGAGGTGTAAATGGTGTGTGATCAGTGTAAATGTTTCTACCCCCAAGCTTTTTAAGGCTTTAATACATTCATGCTCCCATTTGGAGATCACCCAAGTCACATTATCAAGAAAAGATATATTTGCTGTGTTATTTTTTAATAAATTCTGTTTCTATTTTGTCTAAGATCATTATGACACTTAATAGGTCTGCTGATGCTTGGTGTAGTTGTGAGTTTAGTTCTGGTATCCTGGCTGAGGTTTCGTTAGTGTTACTGATATGGTTTAAATCAGAAGGGTAAAGTTTCACTTACCAGAATCTTTTTCTCTCCTCCTTTCTTCGTAAGAGCTGTATAAAGTTCCACATACTAGAAATGGAAGCACCCAATGCAAATATAAATGACCAATTGCAGTTGACTTTAATGTTTTCCTTCCACGTCAGTCTTGTCAGCAAGTACCCTCCTGTGTGGGTATCACACCTGGGTAAGAGGAGAGACCTGTTCTGCAGCTGTCTCACCATTACAGATGCACTTGTAATCACCTGGTGATGCTCCGTAGTGACTGGACCATCTGCATACTGCAGCATGAAAGGCCACTGTGGTCACATATTCAGAACCACCTGTTTTTTAATATTCTTGCAGTTTTGGTGAGCTGTAGCAGAAGCAGCAGTGTCGCTGTGTACATTCACACAGATTGCCTTGCGAACCAGGCTGGAAAGGAGTTGAAGGGGGAGACATGGTAAATGGGGAATATGCATCATAAACCCTGCGCTATGCCCTTGGAGGTCAGGGAGGAGAGCAAGGAAGGACGTAAAGTCAGCTGGCCAGACTTGTTGCAGTGGCAGTTAGGTGTTCCTGCACATGTGATAAAAACAGTGTGCCAAAGTGGAATTGCAGGGAGACAGGCATGCAACAAATTTGTTTCATTTCTGTCAGAGTGAAGGTTTCTGCCCTCCTACCTGCCTGCACCTGCTATGAAAACTGCTCACTCGTCCTAATTAGGATCATTTAATTTAATTCAAGCC